AAACAACAACAAAACGAAAAACCCGCAGAAGACAGTAATCGTGATGTAAATAATTCATCAGTGCATGTTGGAACTTGTCGTCGAAGAGAGTGGAGAATTTCTCCGTATTGTAAAAATGTAAAAATGTGAAAATATAAAATGTTGTCGTTATAGAAGAATAAAAATTGTTTTTTTCCCATACTTTTTCGTTGGTGGAAAGCACAGTGTGTTGTTAAGAAAAGATTTATAGTCGTATCAATAGTCCATTCTATCTAGCAGAACAGAAAATGTCTATTGACAAACCCGTAACGTAGTAGAAATAATGCAACTCTCCTAAACGACAGACAAACGTAAAAATTTCGAAGAAAAATTTTTTTCGGAGCATTCTTTTTCTCTTACATGATGGCGTACTCTTTTGCCATCATATATGAACAAAGAATAATAGTTGACAGACTGATTTCTTTGAAAAAAACCGATGGATCTCCCCTAAAAACTGGAAAACTCAAAAATTTCGAAAAACAAAAAATTTCCGGTACATTGCTTCGCTCTTCCATTATGGCATATTTTTTTCATATCATATAAGGACATCCTCTATCATAAAATAGTTATTTTCATCACAAGGTCCACAAAGTATTTTCTGACGAATGTGGCTTTATGCCGAGCCGAAGGCGAGGCCTATAATCACATTCGTCAGAAAATACTTTTGGACCGTGTGATGAATGCAATTTTTCATCAGAAGGCCCGTAAACCGCGATCAAACCGAGCGAAGCGAGGTTAGAATCGCGGTTTACCGGGTCTTCTCACGAAAAAAATATTTCGATCGAATATCGAGGGGCCCTAGAGTGAAAAAAACCGGTCTAGGAGCTTCTTGACGGCTCTGAAATATTTTTTATCTTGAAGTATGAGAAAAAACGAAAATTTTCTTTTTTTATTTATCAAAATCGGATGCTCTATTCAGAAGTAATGATTGTTTGAAAATTTCAAGTTTCGTAATGATTATCTCAGAAACAAAAAGTGGCAGGGTAATGAAATTTTGCATGATCACTGGCTATATGTTGTAGTTCAAAATGCACCTACTCAATGATTTTTCCTAGACAAAAAAAAATCCGGTGTGGCTGAGTTGACATGGAATGTCCCTCCTGTATTTTTTTCCGGCTTTCTTCTCAGTTAAAACATTCACAAAATTTGAACTCCTCTGCAAAATTCCACGCACAGTTCAAATCTACTGCGCATACCGCATACCGCATAATATAATATAAAATATAAACCTCGGACATTTAATCTTAAGGAAACGTATCACAAATTTGCAGACTAATTCAAAAAGTTGGACAAATAACAATAACCCATAATGCAAAATTCGTTTTGTATAAAAGTTGAACAAAGAATATAATAATTCATAATCATAATGTATCATACTTCTTTGTTTGTTTAGTAAAAAAAGTCAATCAGTTTATTGATTTATCTTTTGTTTTCAAGATTTTATGAACTGTTGGACTTTTTCTATAAATAAAAGTAAAAAAAAAATCAAATTGTATTGTTTGAGAGTTCTCGGAGGGTAGCTTTGAATATTCAAATTGCGCGGTAAAGCGACGCACCTCCCTGACCTTCTCTCTCAACGCTGTCAAGTTTAAGCGTCATTTTCACGAAAACTCAGGATTTACGTTGTAACTTTCGACAAAATTATATGGATATATTCCTAGGTCTTAGAGGGTGTGATATTGCAAGCATTTATATTGTTTGTACATTGTCGATGATTTTTAAAAATTAGTCGAAAAGTGAGTGCCATTTGACGCTTTACAAATGATTTATTTCAATAATTTTTCCAAAAAAGTCTAAATTGTTGATATTAACGGGACTTCATGGGTATATTTCTAATACACCCATAAGTACATTTCCTTCTATTCCCATTTAACTTACTGCGGAAGTACTATAACCCTTAAGTGCTCGCCCTTTTTAGCATCTCATTCGCTCAACAGTGGAGACCTATAGGTTGCATATGATTTAGTGAGGATTCCCTCACGATGCGACCACTTAAGGGTTAAAATGAAAGAAGTAAAAGTGTTTTGTTTGAATAAAATGAAATTGACGTAAGTGTGGTAATACGTTACTTACACGTCTTTGCTTTTAACGAGACGATGTATTATTAGGGGAGGGTGGGGTAAAATGGACACTTGAGACTTTTTTAAAATAATTTATAATTCAGAAACAAATTTATCAATTGAGCTCAGTGTAGGCTCGTCACAAAGGAAACGAATTGTTCTTTGTACCGAAAAAAAAGATTAAATTTCATCAACATTTCAACCCCTCATTAACATTAAAAAAAAAGTCAAAAGTGTCCGTTTTACCCCACCCTCCCCTACTATCAATCCTCAATTTTAACCTAACGAACTCTCAACTAAAATCCAAGGATTTTATATTAAAAATTTCGTCTACAATTTTCCAATTACTAATTCCATCCGTGCATACCGACAAATCAAATATGAAATCTCTCGATGCATCAAAAGATAAATAAGGATTGATTAAAGTCACGCAACTTAATATATAATAACCGAATCGTTTCCCACATTATTCTGTCGCTCATAAATATTCTTGTTAGTACTCAAACAAAAATAGAATATAGCAGAAAGCATAACTTCTCATAACATGGCTGTAGGCTACAAGCATGGATGAAATATTTGTACTATCATCAATTCTCTATTAGTAATGCGATGTCTGTTGGGTATGCAATCATAAATAAATCGCATTCAATCGATGATGATGAATATTTTAAAAAATGAGTTGTACGAAATTTGAAAACTAGAAAACTATAACAGCCATGCCATGGAAGCTTGCCTTGTTTCGTGCCCTCATCAATAGGTATGGTTTTCTTGAGCCACCAGTGAGCATAAAGTCCGGAGGTATAAACTGGTGCAGTGTGAACTTGACCGACAGAGATGGCATTTGGATAACGATGAATCTTCCCATGTTTATTCGAAATATTTTGGTGCTCAAGGAGAATTGGAGTAGTGAAACGGGTCTTATCCATTTCATTTTTAGCTGGTAAAGTATTTTCTTTGGAACAGTCTTCATCATCTTTATTCTCGTCTCCACCTCTATTAATATTTTCATCAATTTGGAGGAGTTCGAGGTTCTCTCTGCCATCTTCATCATTATTACTAAGAAATCTCATATACCCCTCGTCGATCCTTTTAAACTTTGGATCAATAGTTCCGCTCATTGACGTATAAATTTTAAACATATTCTGGATACTTTCAGCAGACTGATGACTCTGCCTAGGAGTCGAGTCAAACGGCGAGGTACAGATGCACTGATGCTCAAATTTATTCTCATCATTCTCGCTCTCACTGTGTGACATTTGTGCACGCTCAGCGTATTTGTTTCTTCCTCTTGCATAACATCTGTAATTTAATTCCGATGATGTCATATGGCAACTGTCAGCCATGCCCGAATCTGAAGAATGGACGCTAGTGACTGGTAATGAAAGAGTCTCCAAAGTATCATTTAGTAGCCCAGCGTTTTCACGAATGGTAGTCAACTGTAAGGGAAAGCGACCTATGTGAATGAAATCTGAACTTTTGGTAGAGGTAGTGGAGATGATTCGTGGCTTGAGGGACTCCCAATTGCTTAATAATGAATAAGGCTCAACCTTGCTGTATTCTTTAGATATTTCATTAGATGAAGAAAAGGGGATTGTTGCTAGAACGACGTTTCTACACCGCAAGTGTTGAAGATTTGTGACCCGAGAGGTAGAAGAGAATTCTCCAGACAAACTGTGATGGTTTTGGAAGATCCTAGACTTCGAAATACTTGAGCCCAAGTTTCCAAGAGAGGAGAGCGTTCTTGCCAGTGGTGAGTGTGCTGGATATTTGCCAACATCGTTTCTGCTCGCATAACTGACGTCCAGCATCACTGAGGATTTTAACATCACTCTCTGTTTCATTTCAGGCATCTGAAGCCTAGCACTATTCTCGTCCTCAGAATCATCACTGTGTCTCGGGTATATCACGTATGTAACCGTACACTTTCTCATTTTCACGTCAGTGAAATCTGGCATGTAGACGTATTGGGAGTAAAGTAGTTTCTTGACGAGTTCGGGGTGGATTATTTTTTTTCGTACCAGTTTAGCGTAAAATCTTGATAACCGAGAGTACGGGTGGGATCTATAACTCACATGCAAAATCGTCGGAGAACGGAGAAGACCTGAAGAGGAGTGGTCCTGGCTCAGAAGGTCGATCCATTGTTGGCGTTCTTCTCGGTTGTTACAGAGGACCGTAATGCTCTCGATGAAGGGACCCGAGATTTCGAAGGCGATTTTTGAATCCTCAGGATCGTCGATCAAGGTGATGTCGATGCCAGTTAAGGGAAGTTTACCCTGAAAATCGAATGGTTGCTTAATTTTTTCTCCCATGCTTTTAGGAAACAAGATCTATGCGCGCGCTCTCACGCCCGCTGATCTATTCATTTGTTGAAATGAAGAAATGGAATTCATTGAATTTCATTTTCTCATGAATACCTTATAAATATTGATAATGAATCAAAGAGAATTCGACTAATGATTGAACTGAATAGCGAAGTAGAGTAAAAGAATCTATAAAGAATTTTTCATTTTCAATTAATTATCTTCAATTTTTTTAATAATCGGTCTCCATAAAAGGACAGAATTTATTAGTTTCACCGGTGATATATATATATATATATATATATATATATATATATATATGTGAAATCTATATACTATATATATATGACGTGAAAAAAAACATTTACCACTGAAGAATTTGAAGTTATGTCACTGAAGAATTTGAAAATGCCGCGTGTTTTTTTTTGTGACTACCTTCGTGTCACATATTGACCAATCAGAATTAAGGATTAGCGGTCAGGCAGTTTCGAGATATTTCGATATAAAACAACTTTACGTTTCTTTCATCTTTAGTAAATAAGATTAGCTGAATTGTCAGAGTATTAATGGAAATGTCGGGAGGGGGAAGTGGGAGAAGGAGATAGAGCAGCCGTACCTCGTAAATAAAAGAGCTCATGCGAGAGCTCGTGCTGAGCATCAGTAGCGTCGTAGGGAAAAGCACGAAGTATCTATCGCGCCGATCAGCACCCACTGCTATTGCAACGGGTCCGACATACAAAATTTCACCAAGGGCGTCAAGTTCTTCTCCTTCCCAACCCTTTATCCCACTAGTGAGGACTTGGAGAGCTAATTCCCTCTGCTTGCGAGTGTAGTTGCATTGTTCCTGTGGAAAAATTGTGATTATGGTGTAGAATATATATATATATATATATATATATATATATATATATATATATATATA